GCACGTATACTTTGCCTATATAAGACATCAAATCATTCATTATTCATTCGTTCTTCTTCCTTTCGGGTTATGCATTTGGTTTATTTTTTGCGCCCGTTGTTTCATGTTTTAATATTGCGTTTTTATTATTGCTATGGTTTAATTATCCAAGTTTGAGGTTCTAATAAACGGTCAAACGATTCCTGCTGCCCACACACACATACCAACAAGGCAATCTATTATCGCTACATTACGTGATGTAAGCGTATATAAAGATGTTAATTGCAGAAAATTATCACATTCATAGTAATTGCAGGCCGCTAAAATTTAAAAAGGCAATTTATGCACAATTGGATAAAAAATTAAACATACCGGAAAAAGAAAACATTCATAAACACATAAATACGTTCGAGATCAGCCCTAAACTCTAATATGGCTGCATGAGATGAAACTTTCAAAGAAAAAATGGGAGATATTTCATGAAGGCTCAGAGAGAAGGAAATTAACTGCGCGAAATTTAAAAATATTGGATGGTTACGTGTGAAAGAGTCAAATGAATTTCTAATATCGCACTTATTCTAGCATAAATTTCTCAAATATCTTAGCTTCAGCAAAACTATTAATTAAAAATTTCATAAAAACTCTTAAAAGCTACATGTCTCTTGATATTTTGCTGGCTATTCAAAATATCGTTTACTTTTAACAGTTAATGATGTAATAGTGGCTGCAGATGGTAAACAATACAAACTGCGAATTAACAAAATTGCAGTTATTTTATCAAGAGTGGGAAGAATATTGAAAGTCAGTGGCAATAGGAGTGCAAAAAATTCTTTTGGAGATTTTGAGGAATAAACTCGAATCGGTGAAACGATATCCAAAATTAATTGTTATTCGTCTGATGATCTCTCATCCTCGTTCACATTAACATTTCAGCGTAACTGACCTGTCATGTAATAAGCATTGACAACAGTGTTGGAAAAAAACAAAAAAAAGATTGTAAAGCAAGTGCTGAATCTCTATCAAGAATAAGAAAAATAATAAATGCTGATATTCTTGTGGATCATAAGATTAAACATACTGTACAAAATAACAATGAAATAAAAACAAATTTAAATGCGATTGCAAAAAAACGAGAAATTTGAAGATCTGCAAAAAAAGCAATCAATAAAAGTGGAAGATTTCATAACTAAGCACCACAAAGCAAGAAATTATCCACAATAAATCACCAAAATAATCACTGAAATTAGTGTTACAATCAATGCATTAAAAAATTTCTAAAATTAAAAACTGTTCTATCTTCGAACTATGGACTTCCCATCCGTAGTTAAGAATCTATGGGCACTTTTATACCACCAAGATTCTATCGATTTCGAAACTATGATGAATAAAGCTAGATTTTAAATAATGATTATGATAGTCAACAGACCAAAGAATACGATTCAACTAGTGATAAAAGTAAAACACATCGTTTTGGTAGAAATAGCATCGAAAGAAATGAAATTTTCATAACTTTACTGATGTTTGTTAAGAAATAATGAAGTCGTATGGAGAAGTAGATGAATGGACATTTTTAAACATTTTTTAAAACGAATGGAGGAAAATTTAAACATTTTTCATGGAATGATTGATAAAACTTGCAGTACGACCGCTACTAATATTCGTTGAATCAATGTCATTCAGCGTCCATTCACCATGACCATTGAGATGTAACTCCATATCATGATATTGCTTCAGAGAAAATCGATGTCCTATTGAAATATATGAGATACGCTCCTGGAAAACACTTTGTTTGTAAAGATCAAGAATATGCACTTCTGACAAAAACAAAACTAAAACTATGAGTTATGAGTTAAAAGAATGGATTTAACAAATTTGTGAATTTCGGACATTACCTATGAGGCTTCCAAAAAGGTACAGGAATTAGTATCTGAAAAATACTATTTCCAGAAATAGAGTGAAAACACCACTGCAAAATTTAAATTCATAAACGATAAAAAACCTCTTTCATCAAGCGATATAGTGACATTTCCATTTCAAAACCAATAGCACTTGTTGCTTCATCCAAAAATGCTATCCGTGGCCGATGGTAGAGCACTCGACCTATTGAAAGCCTTTGCAGTTCACCAGGTGACAGTGTTTCGGACCTGAATTTAAAACTAAAATAGTCCACAATTTTAAAAATTGCATAGTCTGAAAATGGAAGTAAATTATGCTTTATCAAGTGCTTGTAGTTAAAACGAAGGAAGATAAATGGAAGCCAGAATTCAATTAAGTAAGGGAAGTACGCAATATAAAAAGACTTGCATCAACAGAATTTCAACCATATAGAGAGCACCGGAAATCACTTACCAATCCCACTTTACCGGTGTATCTAAACCATTACACCGCTGTAACAAATGTTCCAATTTGACCCATTCCAGAATTTGAGCTAAACGAGCTGCTTCTGAAAATTCGTTCTCAGAATAGAAAAGTATTTTCTAGAACAGAAAATAGTTTTCATATGATTAAACTTAAAACGAATGTGTAAGCCACCTCATTTACCAATAAATTAACCCCATTGATCTTTTAAAGCCATCTCGGTAAACTCTTCTGACTTCGAAGACTTTTAGTGATAGCAACAACGCACCTTTTTCGAGAGATAAAGCTTTCAATGGATAAACCAACTGCTGACGCAAACTACAACCACCATTAGGGAAATATGTTTTCTGTGGCACAAAATATAACGTCGTCGGACTCATTTTCCAATGTCTTTCAAGCTTTCCTGAAAATGAAACATACCAGAACTCTATTTAAGTGATTTAGCGTTTTCTACAACAACTAAACTATTGATAAAATGTTGAAGAAGCAAAACACACAGACCAACAATAATCTCATTTCGTTTTTCTTGCATCGAAAAAATTGATAATGCGAAATCGCTCCTTTATTTAAATTTACTGTGTGATGGAAAAATAAAAAATTAACCGGTTACACATTTCCAAAGTCCAGCAAATACTCTCAGCAATGATGTTTTCCCAACACTACCATCACCAGTTATTAGTAAATTCTTGCCTTCAACAATTTGCAACGACAAATCTGAAAATAATTTTGACCAGCAGGAAGGAAAAATAAAATCCTTAAACAAAAACTCACTTTATCAGTAACTCAAAACATCCAGACATTCTATTTTGCTTGCCCAAATTAATCATGTTCCAATTTTTGTAATAAGAGCACGCATTCCGAGATCTGTCAATCTCACTAAACATATCTTGAAATATCCTCCCTTTTATTGTCACCACTACCCTCATCTATTTAGCAATTCTCGAGAATAAAAAAGCCTAGCAACCAATTTACTCGAAACGAGAGGTGCTGATGAGTCACTTGGAAACGCGATAGTAACTGAATCGAGAGTCATAGCAATACCATCATCAAGCCATTCCGGATCTTCCCTATCCCGATTTTCATCTGCCCTGAAATATCTTAATATAGTAAAATAAGGAATTAAGAAAATTACATTTAAATCAGTTCAATTCAACCGTCCGATATTTGATTCTGCAATTCAAAAAATGCGCAAACCAATGGAAAAAGAAAAAAGCTTCACCGTTGCAAAAGAAATTCAACCTCTTCATCGTCTGGTTCAAGTTCAAATAAGTGGCCCTGCTTACCATACAATTCTTCAATCTGTCAATAATTATTTTTTCACAGATGTAATAGTGGTTATCTTTAATTTAGTATTTTAAAGTGAACAATCTTATTTTGCATAATTTAAATGAATCTAAATTAGCAATAACAAAGTAAAATTTTAAAACAAATTTAAAAAACTTACTTTCCTTTCCGGGACAACATTCTGTTTTTCTGGATCTTCCGAAGCAATAATTACAACAGATGATGGAACTGTGGATGGTGGGCGATCTGTTTCAAGCCTATCAATATGTAACCTTACCAACTCTTCATATAATCCAATTATTCTGCAAGCAAATTTAGCTAATTACAGCTATATAATAATGCATATTATCGCAGGTGATACAAAAAAGAGAAAAAACAGAATAAAACATTCAGCAACCTACCGATGGGTCACGCCTGCCATATCACCGAGCACTTCCGAAAGAGCATTTAAACGAGTGAAGCTGTAGATGAGATACAAGTAATAAAATGCATTCTGTAATGAAATCTCGACAATTTTTGAATATTTTTAAAGTAATCAAAAGGAATATGATAGCTAGAACTAAATATTAAAACATGCTTTTCATCATTCATAACTTCCGTCAAACCTTTCAGACCAGTCGCAAAACAAAAGTAACATGTAGTCTCGTCCTAATAATCTTATGGTCTTATTAGTCTTGTTTAGAACATCATCTTATGAATCTATAAATTTAAGAAATATTGAAAACTTTGAAAATGTTAAAATATATGTCCAGTGATATAAATAACAACCAAACAAGAGGCAAAAAAAACATGAATTTATGTCTGTCACTTACTCGACTTATGATACCAGAAAGTTCTATTCCGGACAAATCATCGTAATTATGTGTTAAGAATATTGGAATCGATATAATTAAATAACTTAATGTTCCACCAAAGTAATCGAAGGCGCTGGTTGCTACTGAAACCATTATTAACTAATCGCTAGAGATATATTTCATTAGTAAAAATAATGAAAGTTATGAAATCTGATTAAGTATTAAAAATCTGGATTTCTACTATGACTGATTCCCCAGTTACTGCAGTCCTTCCCATAAGAATGTCGGAAAGCTCATTCCGGACAATGTAATACAGCTATGCGTCAGTATTAATATATCGAAAAATATTTTCAGAAATGATAAATTTTATACTTACAGCTCAATGCAAAACGCCATTCGACTAGCTTGTTTTGCACTTTAATCAGTGACTTCAATTTTTTATTTGTCATAATATTTTCAATCAGTCCTGATTGATAGAATGCGATCGATTCGGCATTTGTACGCACTTCAACATGACGCAGCCTTAAAAAATATGACTAATGAAATTATCCTGACAATTAGCAAAATTTGATTCCTTAAAGCTTTTTTCCTTTTAATTCATTCCATTATATTATCTTACATTTAAAAAAGTAAACCAAATTTGTAATGCACATTCGTTTTCTTTGTCATCTCTTTTCTTAGGACATCATTGGGGTATGAAAATGGAACAGCAAAATTATTATGATATAATCTCATATTATAAATTAACAATGGTAAGAATAAAATGTCCCGATTTTATTCCGAATTTCAAGAAAAATAAATGAAAAAGAGTATGCATCGCAAAGAATTTTCTGGAGTTTTAACTGCTACTTGCATGTTTTTCTTTGTGACTGTGAAAACATATCACGTGAATCAATTTTTACATTTTTTAGTACAATTACCAAATAGAATAACTCTCCTTCTATCACTGCCTGTATGTCAAAATCTGAAATGTAAGGTGACTGAAATAACTCAGAAACTCAGAACATCAAAAAATTCATATTTTAATAAGATTAAAAGAAGTGATATAAATCATGTAATTTTTTTCATTTTGTTCTGTTTTGTTCTTTAAAATTCCTTACAGTTATGATCGAAACTTGCAAGAAACCTACCTGAAATCACCTTCTTTCTTCTCTTGCTCATTAACCAATAATATAATTGGGGAAAGCAAAAGTCGGTTGATTACAGTAGCTAACGTGAAATAGGCATATATTGTTAGTGGTCCAAGATACCCCGAACTAAAATACTTAATCATGGAGAAATAATATTTGGTGAGAGACAAAGAGCATGATCCTGATCTACTAACAGGACAAAAATATGGAAGTAAAGGATCTGAAAGTAATAAAAGATCCGTGAATAATTTTAAAGTATGAACTTTTCATGATTTTCTCTAACTTTCAGGAAGCGAAATCAACAACAGAACGGTACCTTATATTGTGAGCAATATTTCTTCAATATTTATCATAAATATGCATTTTACACTCATTTATCTCCTTTGAAAGCTTATTATACATAAAATAATTGGAAACTGACCTTTCATATGTCAAGAAAGTATAATACCCGATAACAAAAGGTGCCATAAAAATGGGCGCAAACAACTCTTGTGCCAACAATTTTGTCGCTTTTTCAACATCTTGTGTCATGCGCTGATCACTACAAAGTGAATCATTTCGAAAAAAAAACTTTTTCTTCTTGTTACCATAAAAACAAGTATATTAGTATCAAAATTACAGGCTTGCAACGAATAAACTGATGTAAAATCTAACATCATTTACAGAATCATTAAACAAAAAAACTGTAACACTGAAATCATAACCTAAAATTCGTTACGCATGTAAAAAAACAAAAAACAAACGGATTGTCAAAATTATCATCGAGAACATTTAAGCGGTAATAGCCCTGTCGCTTAAAATACAACCGGTGAAGTGTAAATCCAGTAGTTTCGCGAAATTTTAAAAATAGCTGTGCTGTCATATACTTTATTGCTGATAATGTCTGCAAAATTATATTCCATGTTTATGACAATCAGAATTAACAATACACATGACATGAAACAAATTGGGTATGTGATATCCAACGAGTTGGGCATCAATCTTCCAAAAGAGAATAGTAATATTGGCTAATAGATTATTCTAATCACCTCAAATTGTAATGGTGTTTAATGGTTGTCAATGAACAATGTGAGACAAATTGAAATAACTAATTAATCAAATAAATCTTTACTGTAAGTAACATCATTTATAAATTTCTAATTTCTAATTAAATTTCAAGTAGGAAGCGAGCAAACAGACACGTGTTCCTTTAGATTGGAATTATACGAATGTATGAAATATTCAGTCACAAATGGTACAACATATGAAATTAAATCATTTAACTCTAACGCATCTATTCACCACATCGAACACTTTTATCTCAAATTAAATAAGTGATAACTAACTTTAACGCTATAATCTCACCCGATATTCCGTGATACCATAAATTTAACGTCTGCAAGAGTCAATTACTATTTGAAAAAAAATCAATTATTATTTGAAGCATGATAATCTCAGTAGTTACTAAGTGAACTTTTTCAGCATTAAATTTCTGCGCAAAATTTGAAAATTACTGATTAGGACAAAATAATAACTTCATAAGCTCAAATGATAGCACAAGAAATGCTTACCGAGGCTTTCGACAAAATAATTAAGGTTGCCTTAGCAGCAAGTAATCGAAAGGTTGTAATATCTCGATTACCAAGAGCAACATAAAATTCACTCGGTAAAACACCCACAAAATAGGTTGCTACTTGATCTGGAACAAAAAACAGATAGAAAACATTTAACATTTGAAAAGTATCATTTTAACATTAATAAATTTGAAGAGTCAAAAAAAAATTTTTCTTTCTCCTTAATCTCAAATATTTTAAACAAAAAGACCACTGATAATTTTTTTCTCACCGTTAAACTGAAAATAATCATGCTTTGTCTTTTTTGCGACCTTTGGTCGATTAAAAATTATGAATAGCATCTTTGGATCATAATATCTGTGCCAGCTTAAAATAATAGATAATATGGAGCCTTTGCCAAATGTTCTAATGTTTTTTCCTTAATACTTCAACTAATTCCGTTTTTAATTCAGTATAATATATATATATATAACAATAAGCAATTACCTGCAATAGAAACAACGATGACACATACAGCAATGAAGAAGGAACTGGGCACCACCCGACATCGTGAAAATGGGAAGACTATTTTAAGCAACGTATAAGCACGTTTGAAAAATAGTAAGTCAATGGAGAATTTTCGAATATTCATTATCACAGCATATAAATGTCGGATTATTGCCAATTGTGTGACAATCTAAAAAGAAACCATCAATTCATGATGTTTTTCCTTTTAAATAAAAAAAACATGAAAAATTATAAACCAGATAGGTTATTTTCACCATTCTGAAATATGCCATCCATTCAAATTATATCACCTCTAGATGTAATCTATGGCAAATCCGAAGTCTTTACTTTTCTATATTCTTCATAATTCACTATTTGATATCATCTATTTAAAAATTACCTATTGTTCTATAAATAATATACATAACTTGAAATTCAAGTATCATTCAACTAAACTTAAACAGTGCATTATTTTAATATTTGGGAATTAAAAGGAACCATCTAAAAGTTGGCAACAAAAAATTATTAATGAATTTTAAATGGTTTCTTTTTATCGCATTAGGTTGATTGAGTGAATGTGCATTCAATATATGACCTAAAATTGTTATTTTTTGTAAACGAATTCTGTTTATAACATTATGAATAATATTATAATACGAATCTATAAGAAAGGTTTATTGTAAAACTTTTTAAATAGATACTCCTCGATATTATTTTTGCGCCATTTCAAATTCATGCTCACTGCAAAGATATTTTCTGTGGTTTTAATGAAGTGATAAGAAAATGGCTGAAGGATAGCAAAAACAGGTGTCAATTGTCCTAAATATACTTGTAATATAAGGTTTAAGTAGACAGGTAATACCAATACTGGATGATTTCATCACGGAAAATTTTAAACGAAACATTTTGAATACTGCATTGGTCAGATCAACGAAAATAATATAAAACGTTCAAGAATAAAATCTAGTCAAGCCGCAATTTATTTATGTCAGGCGTCACTAAAAAACTAATTTTGATAACACCCAATTTGAATTTTAAAGTGCAAAATAATAGTTACATAGATCACAATAATAAATAAGAGAAATAGAATGTAAACGAAAAAAGTAAAATCGTGAAGCTTTTTCGTTAAAGAAATAGTTCTGTTTCCTTTCACTATTTGGCATCTGAATTTATGATTTCTGACCCTTTGAAAATGAAATAATTTTAAAAACATTGGAAAATTTGATAAGCAAAGCAAGCGAAATTTTTTTTAAAAAGAAAGTCGAAAATTGTTCCACTTTTCCTTACTTTACTTCGTTGCTCAGTTACAAGTTTTTTGTCATGTTGAAAGGAAGAACTATTCTTATTTATTGAAATATTATGAGTGATTGAATAACAATGAAGCAGAACGGAAACATCAACTGATTCAAATCATTTAGTGTTAAATGACTGATCAGCAGAATATCATCTTGGGCCTTTTTAAGATCTTCGTAAATCATCGTTCAATAACAGATCAGCAAATGAATAACGGAACAGATTATCTGAATGGAAAATACTCAGTAATATAGAACTTTTTTCTGACAATAACATAAATTATTATCAATCAAATTACCGCTAATTATAATTAATCTTATCCTCCATTAGCGTACATATAGCAAAAAGATGTATAGCACATCTTTTTTTATTTTTTCACTTTTTCTTCACTTATTTAGTGCAGTTTACAACCAGAAAACTTAGATAACACATTTAATCAACAAACTGAAACGTAGTATGCAAACGATGCAAATAAATTATAATAAAGATGAAATCCGAAACCCCTAATCCACTATCTTTGTTTTCCATCTCTCCTTACTCTTCCTTCCATTTCTTTCGTTTCCCTATCCAAGGCCAACATTATATTAAACGGATATTACCTTGAGTTTTCGGATGGTAAGAGAGACGGATGAAGGCCGTTTATTCGATCAGCCAACCGGAATTGGTCAGCTACTCTTTCTCATTTCATTCTCCTCTTCCACCTCTTTTATCCCTCCCTCCAACCATCCCTTCACTTATATAATTCTACCAAAATCTTTTCCACAATAATTATACCAGATGGCCCATTCTTAAAAAGAAAAAAAAAAGGAACTCTTCTACTGGCAACAGCTGTCATACCGTTAATATCTTATTTCGTTTCGTTTTTTCTTAATATGTTTCCCAAGCATAACAATCGACATTTTAGGAAATAAATTTTGCGCATTTTTTTTTTATTTGGCGAAACAGCATAAAAAGAAATTTTAGTGCACGAATCCAATAAGGCATATTTAAAAATAGTCATTTACATTATTTATTTTCCTATCAAACGATGATCAATTTCCCTATCGAATGATGACCAGCTGAATCGAAAGAGCTAACACATTTCAAGCCGGTCGCATGAATCTCAGTAAAATAATATCAAACTGTATTGAATCAGCACTTTAGAGACATGCATAATTCAATTCCATTAGATTCTAGCAACCTTTCTGATAAATTCAAAACCATACTTCTTGCCTTTTAGTGACAATAATGAACATTTGAACAAATTTAGTTATCCCAGAGAATAATTAGAGAATTTGTTAACTCATCTACTATCTACTCATTTGCTCTTATTCACTTCAACAAAAATGGCATATCATTAATTATCTAAGAAATCTAATTAAACGTGTATCGTAAAGTTTCCCTTGCAACAATCAACAATTTACAAAAATATTCTCGTCTGTATGTGAAGATCAAAAAAATTCAAAAGACAAGAAACTTGATACAAAAGTCTTTATTTGTTTTCTCTCGGAAATTATCTTTTGAAGTATAAAGTATTAACTATTTTAAATAGAATGCTCAATTTTGTTTTGCTTAGTAGCTCAATCGCAATTTGAAGAAACAACAATAAATATGCAATTGTAAAAAAAATTTCTTGTGGAATATGATAGAAGCTTAACCGTTGCTAGGGTTTTAATTTTTGAAACTCATTCCTATAGCATGTGCCCATCAGTCTTAGAATAAGAAATGCATTTATGGCATACTGGCAGTAACACCATATTTTATCAATAATGAGAAGAGAGGTTCTCTATTCAGAGAATAAGGCATAGAATACCAACATCATTGCTAACGCATTATAATGCTAACACAACAAAGCTTTGTCGAATCCGGAAGTGGTCTGCACGAATTGTCTTCTCACATTCTTTTTATGTCCATCTTCCGAAATGGAATTTCAATTTGTCATTTACAAAGAAATGGAGAAAGCAATACAATGCTCGTTATATTGCTGTAGAAAATTAATGCTGCCGATCACGCAAGCAGGACAAATTAAGAAATCTAAATAATAAAACCAATTTATGCTCATTAAATTGTTGCTAGATTGATCAACAAATCTTCATATGAAGATGATCGTAACATTCAATCAAAAGACTACTAAAAAAACTTCAAAATAAAAAGAATCAACGGCTGGAAATTTGAAAAGCTATCAAGTATAATAACAGACAACTACAAAGTAATAAAATTGGATTTGACTAGACATTTCTGAACCAGCTTCAAAAAAAATAAAAATAAAATGTAACAAATTTTATTGGTATAAAACAAAAAATTTGAGTTCTCAAATTCTCACTTAAGCAATCTCATGGGAAAAGCGAGAGACATCCATCCTTTGTCTAGCCAGTTGACAGAACTGGAGCACAGCTAACGTCTATTTAATTGTCATTCTGATGTCCGATATCGATCAGTTATTTTCCTTCGCTGTAATCTTTTTCTTTCCAACGTCCAAAAATCAAACATTCTCATATTTTAATTTAACTATTTCCTAAGCAAACAGCAACCAAGGTTTAAATATTTTACAGAAGTTTTAGAGCAGATTTAAAATTTTTTGGTCAGGTTCTTATTAAAAAAAAACAGGAAAAATAAAAAACAAACAGCCAAAAGCAAAAAATAAAGAAGCAACTATCCATCAAAGTTCTACTGAAAAACTCCGTCCTACCCAGTGACTTTTGAAATTTTGTACGGAAGAACATCAACCAAGGTACATCCTTTCAGCGAAAAAAAGCTTTGGAGGCAATTCTGCTCGTAAAATGTCGCACTCATTCTTCATAGCAAAGCTTTCAGTAATTGACAGACAAGAAATCAAGTAGAAAAACACGGAACCAAATTTTCCATATCTTAATAATAGAAAAAAAAAACTAAATATAACACGATTTGAGATATTTGAGAAGACCAGAAAATATGAAAGAATAAAGAACAAGTAAATGACGAAGATTATCCGAAAAATTTTTATACTAAATCCGAATACACTAAATTTCAATTGCCAGCTAAACAACAAATAGATGGATCGCAAGCAACCTCTTAAATGCTATCCTTCAATTTTATAAATATTAATGATTTTGCTCAAAATGAGTGGTAACTCAAAAATGAAACATTTCACTGAATGATTGAGTGGAAACAACTGTTTGAATGAGTTAATAGAGAAACAAATGATTGGAAATGAAAGAAAAAAGTATCTAAATAATATACTGTGTGAAAAAGGAGACTACCAATACAAGATATTTCTGTTAAATATTCAAATGTTTCAAACAACAGTTGAATTATCACACACATTTAGCAAAAACCATATTCCATCAATCAAGCTACTAGTAGTAGCCAAAACCAATCTGACACATAAATTTTCTTCTTAGACCCTCTCCAACCAAAGCACAAAACTCAGAAAAAATTAGAGCAAAAGATCAACATAAAAAACAAAAGGCAAAAATCAGAATTCAAAGAAACATAAACATAACAATACATTAAATTACCCCTGCAATAACCAATGTTCTGTTCTAAACTAAACAACTGGTTCAGGTAGAAGAAGCATAGCCTTGCGCAACCATCTACCAAACGGATATTGACTATTCTTGGTGAAAAAACACGCATTTTTTTGTGGCTATATCTATTATTACTATTAATATTAAAAATAGTCATAAAACCAAACTATTTTGGACGTTTCAACAAAATATTAGACTACAATTTTTTTCTAACAATGAAATTCTTTTTTCTAATTCTTCATGCGGAATTACGATAATGAAATTTATAAATTCTTCATGCAGAATTACAATCATATAATAAAAAGACAGAAGAGAATAATCGTTTCTCTCAGGCCAAAAACCTTCATGGGAGTTGAAAAAAGCAGTGAAAGAGCAAATAAAAGTAATTTAGTTGAATGAGAATTGGAAAAAATAAAAAGTAATTAAAAGTGGAAATTAATAGAAAACCCGCTTTTTTCTCACGATTTGTTTACTGCAATAAATATTGCATACCTATCCGCTGTTCTAGCCATCAAGCAGTTCTGTTTAACAATCGGTTTAATTTCATCTTCCGGTTTAGTTTTGTAACACTTATTATTTTTGTCTAGTTTTAAACAGCTAACATATTTTGGCAATATTTTGGCTCATTTTTCTTAAATGAGATGCTTATGTTGGATCGGAAATGATGATAATACGCATATTTGACATTTATTAAGCCGATAATTGATTTTTCTCAGTTTATTATACGAAGAAAAAATAAGAAATGAAACAGAAATAAAATGTTTTTTTGAAAGCAGGTAAAGTATAAATTACATAGGGAAAAAAGAGACGTATACGACCCCAACACAGAAACATATAAGTACTGCAAACTAAAAGTAAATCGACTGAATTACATAAGTAATTTGCAGAAAAACTCATTTAGTATTAAATTATTTTCCACGACAGTACTTTCTTACGAAATGATATCATTATAAGATGTAAACAGCTTACTTTAATATAATGTAAGGAGAGGATACAAGTAACAAATAACGCTGAAACAAAAGATGAATGGATTGTTCTGAAGAGGACAATCTAAAACATAACTTAGGTGCTAACCTATTTTTATCAGATAAAATATTCCACTGCTATCATTTCCTTTGTGATCAGCGAATGGCATTTCAAACTATGCAATCATATTCTCTACTTCCCTGAAAATAAATCCTTAAATTTTCCATTTATTTTTAACAAAATACGCAACAAAAAAAGCATGATTCACATATATTAATGAATGCGAAAATTCACTTCATCGCTATTTTCACTATTTCCTTAAGTAAAAGGATTGACAATCAACTATGTTATTGTGTAGTGCATTAAATTTCCATGGGTGATAAGAACTGATAGTCAGCAATGATAATGTGCAGTGAATTAGATGAAGAATTACAACATGTTTGATAGTCGGGATTACTGCAAAGTAAGATAATACTGCAATAAAAGAAGATTTGTGTCCAATTTGCTGACCATTTTGAAATGTAATTTGAGAATTACAAGGAAGCATAACGAAAAAGAAAGAGAGAACGAAAGAAAAAGAGAAAAGGAGAAGGATTATATTATTTTAGAAACAGAAACGGAAATCAGTCAAATCATACTGCACTTTTTGCTCGAAATGATTGTTCACTACCAATTTCCACTGATGAATACAACATGAAAATTAAACTCCAATCGATGGACGCTACGTGAAACTGCAATTCCCATCGGCGGACACACAGCGTGAAAATTAATTTCTTGCTGATAGACACAACGTGAAAATTAAACTGTCGTCGATGGACAGAACATGAAAATTTGGACTCTCGTCGGCGGACATTTTTACTGGTGAACACAACATGAAAAAGAAACTCTCGTCGATAGACACATTACGTGAAAAAGAAACTCTCGTCGATAGACACATTACGTGAAAAAGAAACTCTCGTCGATGGACACAATGTAAAAATTAAACTCTCGTCGACGGACACAACGTGAAAATCAAATTCTCATCGATAGACACACTACATGAAAAATAAACTCTCCTCAATAGATACAACGTGAAAATTAAACTCTAATTCGATGGACACATTACGTGAAAAAGAAACTCTCGTCGATAGACACAACGTGAAAATTAAATTCTCATCGATGGACACATAACACGAAAATTGAACTTTTTCAAGTTAAATTTAGAAGAACTGCAATTAGCACATATTGAAACTTTATGTTAATTCTGTGTAATTTTAACCGATATGCCGTCCATGGCAGCAAAGCAAAGTGCTCCCTCATCAATCACATACCGATTCCACAAGGAGTTAAGGGGCAGATGTGGTAGTACGAATGTCTGCGTGACATACACATTCGTGAAAATGTGTATGTCTGCACGGATGTGTATAGGAACGTGGGTGTACATGTCTGCGTAGATGTGTCTGTGAGTATATATGTGTGTGTGCGTGTATGTGTGTGCGTGCGAATTTACGATGTGCTGATGTGGAACAGAAGTGCGGAAGAGCAATGGGGTGAGCGGAATGAACAGAATAGAAGTGTCAGACGGCAGATACCATTTTTTCTATTTCGTGGTCAATCGGTTGACTTCTCACTCCTTGTCCTGGTTACAGTGACCAGTTTGCTTAGTGCACACGTGGAAGATGAACGTGCATACTTGGTAATTGTGCATGCTTACCGATAGACACGTGAGACAAGAATTCTATACGTTATCATAGCAGAGTATAAAATAGATAGCATCTGAATAGCTTTTTTATAGCGGATATTAGAATTTATTGAAGACTCAGCATATGTGCTTCTGAAGTATTCTTCAAGTAGAATATATAAATATTGGCGTACAAACATAATGCATTGAATTAACTTCCATATATGATAAGTTAATTTTAGGCTTGATTAGGACGATTTATTACGCAATACGATGATGTCCTATGCTTAAATAACTATTTGGTTACTCGCAGTTTTGTGAGGACAAAGCGAATAAGCTAGTCAGTTTTCAATTATTATCCTTATTGTTTACTTAATTAACCTTTAAGCGTATTTTTTAGCTTTTATACTTTAGATTGAAAGGTGGCATTTATATGTTAGGTACTACCTGACATACCTAATATATACGTGCCAATTTATTAAGTATCATAACATGGTTCATAAGGGAATATGAAAAGATCTACTGTTTATTAATTAAGTGCTATTGGTTAAAACAAAAAATGTTGTGATGTTTATTAACATTAAATACTAATTTCTGATATGAAATAAATTAAATAAGTTAAGCAGGATTGCATTTTGTGAGACAGTTTGACAACATCCAAAACTGTTGGCATTTAAAATGAATGCTTATAATTTAAAACTAATGATATTTATTTTTGTCTCTTTTAGGTTCAATATGATTTTCTTCAACTTCTTTGATTCATTCACTTTTGCGTGCACAACTCTTCTGAATTCCTGCAAGCGAAGAAATGCATCAAGTATGTGACAAATATTTGACTTAATAAAATATAATTTTCATATTGTCTAATTTTTTTCTAACAAATTCAGCTAAACAGTTACAGTTTTCACTTTAATATATTATGACTGCATTTCGAATATGGTTAGATCACATGCTATCGGTGTTGGCTATTAGTTATTAAATTATTAAATTTTGGTGAATCCATATAAATAAATTTACCATATTTTTTTTAAACGATTTAATGTTATTATTCATTCCAAAAATGTTTTTGTAGATGATGTAAATGATAGTCTCTTCTTTTCAGTTAGCAGTAATGGACAAGCAGTTTTGCGTGGTACCTTTCTGGACGACCCCATCTCCAGAAGCTGACAACTTACTGTCGGAGTGTTTCGTAGGTTACGATGATAATAATGCTTCTAAAGCCAATTTTAGGTATCTTTTCTAGTTTTTGAGACTCATTGGTTTTAGTTTTGATATTCTATTCAACTTTCAATTGTTATTATTATTATTATTATTATTATTATTACTACTTTAGTTCGTTTTCATCATTCAAAACATTTCTTCAGAGTTCTTCTTTCAGCGATTCTAAGTTTCCAACAGGACAGTCGTTGGAGGAAGATCTGGAAAATGTACTGGAACGGATGGCAGTACAAAATGAAGAACAATTCTTATGCAGTGTAGGTGGCGAAAGAGACCGATCGAGTTATTATGATGGTAGTGATGTTTCATGGTTGGATGAATTTATGAATGTTTATGGGATTACTACTTTAGATTCAAATGATGATTTTAACATGAGAAATATCGGTATGACAATCGTTGAAACATCACAAGCAAAAAAAAATCATCCAGCTGTTATGCTAACGAAAGAAATGAAAAATAGTAAAATTTTCACCAATGTAAGTCCCTAATAATGATTTCTTTCTTAACATTTTTAAGTATTTTTCAGACAAAAAGTTTTTTCTCTGAGATAAATTTATGTTCTCTTTTGCAAGTTTATTTTTATTTTCCACACTCAAAATAATATTGCTAGTTCAAAGTTTTTTTGGTCTCAGGTTTAATTTATGTCAAAGCCATATTGTCAATCGTTCAGAAATGCGTTACACAGTTATCAGGAGTTTCCGACAATGTTTCGATGATATCAATAGGCACTGTTGCTGATGCAAATATGTCCTCCATTCGAGAAACCAACACAACATTAAAATCTGTTAGCAGTGTGATATCAGATAAGGAGAAGGTAAAAGAAATCAAATTTTAATTTTTTTTAAAGCGTATTTTTAGTTTTATATCAGTTTTGTACCTATCCGAGCAAGAACTTCAGAAATTTGCCCTTGCAATTTTCAGTAGTTCCAAAAGATATATGGATAACATTTGCACTACTGGTCGCACAACATTTGCATTACTAGTGCTAATCAAAATATTTTATTTGCTAGTAATTCGATAAGGAATAAAATAAACTGGATGATTTATGCTGCACTCTCAGTACTTCGCTTATTAGTATCTCTAATACTTTGCCTGCCATTTTTTCAAAATGCATCTAATAACGCTTCATATACCGTTAAGTAATTAGCCTATTTTGAAAAAGTCACAGTTATTTGATTGTTAGAGTTTACTCATAAATCTTGTAGACAAAAGATTTTGTTGTTAAAAATATAGTGTTATTTAATTTTAACACAATCAAATGCTATAAAGGTTCTGGATGACAATGTTCAGCAGAGGAGCAACAGTCAAAAGTTTGCAGCGAACAGGAAGACATGTTTTGATGGTATCAGTGAGCGCAAACGAGAGCAGAATCGTTGTGCAGCTATTCGGTATAGAGGTAAGCATAGATGCTGCATACTTATTGTTATGATGTTAATAATTTTCTATAAATTGCAGAATATATTTATTCTTTATTTTTTCATCATTAAACTATGAGTCCATTTATAAGAGCACTTTTTTAGGTTCTGAATGAAGTGACTGATCTCTCGAAACATACTAACTTATAACGCCTATTTACCGATATATGCATTCGATAATGCAGTCCACTTTTTTTTACAGGTAAACGTCGTGAAGAAGCAAAACAGAAGAAACAAGAACTATATAAACTTGAGCTGCGTAACATAGAACTGAAAACTGAAATGAATTGGCTAGAAAAAGAAGTTATTTATTTGAAAAGTTTGATGAAACTTACGAAAAGTTTCTGAAATTATTTGTGATATGTTGCAATTTTGAAAATGTTGCAAACGATTTTCTATAGTGAAAATCTTTTTTTTTAATAAAAAATTTTTTGTTCAAGCAAACTTGGACAATTTTTTATTTATCTTTATTTTATATTATGTAGTGTTTACAATATTTCTGACAATGAGTACATATAATTATTTTTTTCTGATTTGCATTTGAATAATAGAAATGCATAGATAAGCATTTATTTTTACGCATTTATGTTATTCACATGTTTTTTAAAAATTAACATGAAGGTACTATCAATGCTTTTTTTAATGTTTGCTTATTTAATGACGATTCTAAATTTTACCACATATTATTGTTTATTATGCATATGCCATTATTTTTTTCATATTCATATTTGCATGGATTTGTGCATTTTTGACAACGCCTTCATTACATCACTTTGCATTATACTTAAATCTCAGAAAACGAATCATATAAAGATCTGAGAGAGATCAGACTTTTTAAAACTTTCATTTATCGAAATCAGATGAAAAAATAATCAGCAGGATAAAGATTGGCGGTTTTCGATCGCATCAAATTAGCGATACGGCAAGCTATATAATCTGTGTAATTGTATTAAATGACGATTCATTTACCGTTTCGAATACTAAATAGTAATGTTAATCGATTATATTATAAGCACACAGTGCTTTCCTTTTTTTCATTCCAATTTTAATATTTTCCTGACGAATATTTAAATATAACAGAATCTTCATTTCATTATTCACCAGTCAATTTTTCTTTTTCTTTTCATTTCAGGATTTCTATTGAGATGGATGAAGCAAAGAAGCAATGATAGAGAATTTGTATATGCTTTATGTGAAATGTTAGTAATGGATAGATAGAATGTAATTTGAAGTGAGAGTTAGATGATTAGATATCGATGAATTAGTTAGAAAAAGAAGAAAGTAAGAAATTGTTAAAAGCTTTAGGCTTTGTCAATTCATGAAAGATTGTAAGCTTTCTGCTGAATATTAAAATCGATGATTAAGAAGATATGTACAATATATACATATATACTAAAAAGAATGTATATATGTATACAGCCTAGACCATGGACAGCTATATTTCTTACTCTTTAGTCCTTTTTCAGGCATGCATGCAGAAGGTCCTAAAACTAGGCCAGATTAATGTATGTATGTGTATCTGCGTATATGTGTGCGTGTGTGTGTATGCCTGAAAAAAGCTTTAAAAAGAATAAGTATAGTTGGCAAGAATGGGCTGGTAAGAGATGGAAGTCGAGTCAAACAACTAAAGCCTAAAACCAAAAATACATTCATTTCCGATATCTGCCCGCTCTATCTCATTTGTGCATTTTGAGTGCGTTTGAAAGCATATAAATTCGAATTGAGTCAAACAAAACTTTCGAAGTGCTCCATTTTCATACTTTATCTTCCTCCTCATCGCACCATTTACTTACTTATATCATTCATTCCTTCTTTTTTTATTACTCCATTGACTTTTTTTTCTTTTTTTTTCCATTCAACAATTATA